TCTGAGATACTGAGTGTTAGGCTTCAACATATAAATTTATGAGGTAAACAATGCAGCCCATAACAGAATACGTTTTTGTGCTCTTCATTGACAATTCAATAAAAGTAATATCCCATACAGTTGTCTTCTTTAAATTATTTTATTATAAATACCATCACCAACAATGTATCCTGTCAATAAACTTCATCATATAGGCAGAAAATGTATAAAGTGTTTTTTTATAAAATTCTAATATCCTACAATTGATTTTAAATCCCAAATGAATTATATATCACAACTTCATCATATAGGCAGAAAATGTATAAAGTGTTTTTTTTATAAAATTCTAATATCCTACAATTGATTTTAAATACCAAATGAATTATATATCACACACAAATTACAAGGCCCCAACCTACAACCTCCATGACATAATGGTTCCAAGTAACACGATTTTAGCTATGTTGTAAACTCTGCTTCAGGGGGACAGAAAATGCAATTAAATTAATAGTTAATACTGAATATTCAAAATATATATCAAACTTGCTAAAAAATTTTAATTGTCATTTTTAGAGGGCTATAGTACAATGAGGTTAATGGAAGTCTTTGAAAACACTGCATGCTGGTGTCAGTCACCTGGAAATTAGGTGTTCTAAGTGCTCGCAGTTGGTGAATAAAAGATAAACATTTGGTATTTAGTAAGGCATTTATCATAAAAAGTTGGAAATGCATGAAGAACTATAAACCATGACATGTATTTGAACAAATATTTGGGTCAGATCAAGAAATTGCTAGCTAATAGCATACGAATAAGAGTCTTAAAAGCAGAAAGAGGTCTATAAAGTAGAGAGGATAAAAAAATCAAACTTAAGGTATAAAAGAATGCTCTTGAAAGATAAAAATATGGAAACAGAGCAAAATGACAAAAATTAGAAATGGGAATCATTGAAGCTGATAGTACACTGAATATTGCCCTTTTCCTATAAGCTAGTTTCCCCCCCCCCTCCAAAGGGAGAGCACGAACACAGTCCCCCACTATCACAAGTTATGCAGTAGAGTTTCCCACATTTGGGGAAATCACAAGGGTCAGCACATCCGGAGTGCAATGGATAAGCATCGCCCTAGGAAAACCATCTTTATGATCATGGTATCTCCCCTGCAAAGTATAAGAAGCTAATGCTCTTCCCAACAGTTCCAGTAATAGTCTCTGGTCTAGAGCAGCAATTCTTAAATAGTGGTGTAAAGATTTCTGGGAAATCTATGAATTTATCCTTAAGGAAAGAGTAGAATACACAGAAATTTAGAGGTGAGGTTCTCAGTAAGAACCAAGAAAAAAGCTTCAAAGAAAGGATGACAATTACTTTAAATTCTGGGATAAAGGTGAAAACTAGATAACATGCTACCACTTCCCACAGATTTAACTTAGGCAGAATCCACCATGCAGCTCTAACCTGAGGTGCTGAAAGCTATAAAGAAACACGACAAATAAGAGAAAGAAAATCAGAAGAAAGGGGACCAAGAAAGATTTTCTCAAGTAAATAAAATTTGAGAGAAGAGGTTAAGGGTGTAGGGATCAAGAGCCCCATATTGTGTGGCATATTATGATCCTGATACCTATTTGAGATGCTGATGGAAACAGAAAAAGCTGTTGGATATACAAGGGTGGAGCTTAGAAGGAAAGTCTGGGATATAAATTTGTAAGTCGTTAACATAATGATGGTACTTAAGTCCTCGGAAATTGAAGAAATCACCAAAGGAGAAGGAGAAGAAATAGGGAGAAAAAAAGAGAAAGGCTCAGTATTAGGCTAATAACAACAGCAATACACTGAGGCAGCGTAGAAGAGAAATAGGTAAAGTACACTGTGAGTGAAAGGGAAGAACAAGTTGGTACAGAAGCTAGATGCGAGTGAGGCAGACTGGGTTGCACCAAGACACACAAATTATACCTTGGACCAAAAGCAATACAAGAGCACAATTTCTGACACAGAGTAATCACTCAACACAGACTTGATAAATAAATGAGTTACCAACTAGACTAGCATGGCATTTCTAGAACTCAGATTGACTAGGGAAGAATATGATGATATGGCAGAACCATAAAAACCCTAAAAAAGGGCTGACCAAAGTGATGGTGTAAACTTACCTTAGTTTTATTTTAATACATCCCCCCCAAAAAACACAAACATTCAAAAAATCAGTTTTGTCATATTTTCTACTCATTAAAAAAATAGCATTTCAATTTAATAATGAAACATATGAGTAGGAAGTAATCAGTAAAACCTTCACAGATTAGAGTCAGGAAAACGGGAAGTAAAAATGCATTCAACCCCTAGAAGTCCATAAAAAGAAGAAATATTCCAATGGTATACAGAAATACAATAATGACCCCAAATATTTTCACTGAAATACAACAGAGAGCTGTAAGCCATTATCTCTTAGAAAAGAAGCAGTCTTAATGAAGTAGATTTTTAAAAATTGTCATACGGCTAAGCTCATTAGTTGCAATGAAAGTTCCCCCTGCTGATCCAGGAGTACCTAATGACCAGGATTTGTTATGTCTCAAAAACAAAGGCACTTTTTAATTCATGTGATAGCTCACTGAGGAGACTTCAAATCTGGAAACTATTAAATGATGATATATAATATAAGAGCACTGAAATTCTCCAAAGCAAACATAGATTTATCTCATCCAAAGCATTACATTACTCCTCTAAAACCTTATGCATTAATAGGGTAATATAATCATAAAAAGAAATTATGCTCAACAATCACCTACACTATAAAAAAAACTCAGCAATGGTTTTTCTATTTTAAATATGAAGTTGGTTGCTCCCTGTGAAACATATTAACAATATCTGCTGACCCATACACATACTCGTGCCTCTGCTACAACAGATGGAAGCTAAAAACCCCCAAGGCCCCAGAGGACACCGAAACAACAACAAAAAAAAGACAAACAGAAGAATCAAATTACCAAGTTACAACTCTTCAAGTCCTTATGAAAGTTAAATACTTTAAAAAAGCAACTATCAAAATATTTATAAAGAATTTTAAATATAATCAAATAAGTTTTTGAAATATTTATCTACCATATATAATATTTATCTCACTTACAACTGCTAGAAAATAAATTCTACAATAAAAAATACATCAAAAATAAGTATGTTCCAGCTTACTGTTTAGTTTTAGAAGTAGTATGAAAAATAGTGTACTGAAGTTTTTGAAATATTTATCTACCATATATAATATTTATCTCACTTACAACTGCTAGAAAATAAATTCTACAATAAAAAATACATCAAAAAATAAGTATGTTCCAGCTTACTGTTTAGTTTTAGAAGTAGTATGAAAAATAGTGTACTGGTCAGAAATGCAAACTGTCATTGTCTGGAAATGCTGGCACTGTTTTAGTTCTTATTAAACTACTAATGTTGATATAAGCTATTAACTATTCCACCATTTTTCCCCCAGGAAAAAAGCTCCCTCTAGGAGATTTTGTACCACTCTGTACCACTTCTTCATCCACTACTCTGTTACTCATCAAACTTAACATCCATCAAGAACATGCATTTTCAATTTTTTTTTCCCCCATCCTTTTTGCTCAAATATTCCGAAATTTCAGAAATCTTACTTTAGGAAAGTCGATTTCCCTGAGTCAATGAACCAATCATTTAAAAGCTATTTTGAATATCACCAATTTACTTTAAATGTTTTTCCCCATTCAGTTCTATGGCCTTTTGCCCTATCTCACATGTTTTAATATAAGAAAATAATTTGGATTATTTTCTCTTCTTAAATTCCAATAAAATATCTATACGTACACACACACACACACACACACACACACACACAGATATTTTCTTCTTATACCAAGGACATTTTAATGTAGTACAGGAGCAAAGTAAGTAATTCAATATCATTAGAACATTAGGATTTAGTAGTGAAAAATAAAGTAAAAAGCTTATTTTTAGTCTTAAAAATCCAGACTAATTAATTCCAACTATCTTCCAATAGGCTGTATGAAATACATACGCCAAAGAAGTATACGTCTTAGAAAAAAATTTGCAAGAACACCTCATCCAATCACATGCCTCTTTGCAGATAAAGTGCTATAATCCTCATTTTATAAAAGAACAAAAAATTTTGAACGGTTGGGGAATGATGAAAGTGGTTTTTCTAAAGAAGGAATATTCACTCTAATATGGAAAAAAAATCCTTGAATTTGATGAATTCCAGTATTAAGAAGAAAATAAAGAGATCACAAAAAGAATTTGACATTATGAATAACTAGTAGTCAATTAGAATAAAAAGAATACAGATACTCCACCATTTGAAATGAGCTGTGTTCCAAAATGTACTCACAAATTTGTTTTTTGAAGCCAAGTAAAGTTGTTTCCACAGAATCAACGTCAGATATAAATGAAAAATAGATTTATATGGTGGTCAAAAAATCGCATTTAAATCATATTATAGCCAAGTATTAATAATAGGTCCTATACATTCTGTGACCCTTTACAAACTGATCTAAGCCCACAGTAGGGGCTAGATCTAGGTTAGATATTTGGGCATCTGGCAGTTTGGTGCTTACTAGGACAAAGAAAGAAAGCTCCACCTACAAGGTAAGTGGAGACAGTTTTGGAACTCAGGCAAAAGGAAGATACTGATCACTGGTTCTGGGCCAGGTACTTAGTAGTCACTGAGTGCTTGTCAATGACACTGAGTCAAGGGAGCCTGGCTCTAACCACAGTGGAGGTTTAGCAGCAGAGGGTGGGACTAGCAGGCATCCATAAGGTTTAAATAGCAGAACAAAGTGTTTTTCAATGCAAGCCCTCATTATTCAACCAAATTAAACTCATAACTCTAATCATGACAACTCATAAGTATCGTATAGCTTTCTGTTTTTAAAATGAAATATTCAATATGAACACTGTGACAAAGTAGAAAGTATGTACAAATAAAAGGCATTATTTTCTGTCTTTGAAGACAAGAGCAGTGAAACGTTTTTTAACAAAAGCACAAACCTTTACTAGCTTTGTCTAAATGTTCCAAATCATCCACAAAATTCAGGATATCAGGGTGCTTCTCTTCACATATTTCTACCAGAAAATGAAGCAGTGTTGTTTTCTGATCTGCTGATTTCGTGTCCTTTAGCTAAATAGAACGAGAGGGGGAAAAAAAGAGTCAAAAATATTTTGATAATCTGCCTACATAAAAAATGTTAATACTGTATTTTGTAGGAAAGATATAAATGAGTTGTAAAATCAGTTAATTCCAACTTTTGAAAAACAGGTATTTAAAATACTTTTTGAAAAGCTACTTTTTATTTGCTCTTTAATCAAAATCATCAATATTTGTTGTAAAAAAAAAGAATTAGTTTAATACAATCTAGTATACAATGCTTTATAGGGAAAAAATTATGGTAAAATTCCTAGGAGAACAGAATAACCCGGAAGTCATAAAACAGTAGAAGAATTAGTTTAATACAATCTAGTATACAATGCTTTATGGGGAAAAAATTATGGTAAAATTCCTAGGAGAACAGAATAACCCGGAAGTCATAAAACAGTAGTATTTAAAACAACCCTGGGCATTCATTCATTTATCATTTGGCACATATTCATAGAATGCTTACTAGATACTATAGGAACTGGAGACACAACAACAAATAAAACAGAGTCTTTCCTTAAGAAGCTATTTAGTGGGGGGGGGGGGGGGGAGAAAAGAAAATATGTATTTGCCCTGGTGTGGTAAGCAGTATAGTAAAAATAACGACAAAGTATGTCTAGGAGGACATGACATCCGAACTGAACCTTCGAAGACAGGAAGCTGTATGGGACTACGGAAGGGAAAGAGAAAATTCAAAATTCAGCATCCCAGGCAGATGAAGCAGCATTTGAAAAGGGCTACAGATGAGGAAGAATATGGCACATTCGGGGAAGCTGACTGACAATACAAAATACTACTGTGTATGTGTTGGGGAAGGCAAGTAGGGGCAGTGGAAAAGTCCAGAAAATAAAAGGAAAGGTATGTCATGCAATGGAAATAGAATTTTGATTCTGAAGCAATGAATGTTTTAAGATGGAAAAGAAATGATCAGATGTACATTCTAGAAAGCTCCCTCTAAAGTAATGTAGATAAAAAAAAATTAGAGCAAGGGTAATAACAGAAGCATGAAGAGTAATTTAAAAAGCTGTGATAATAACCCAGGCAGGGAAAGAAGGCAGCCTTAACAGAAATTGTGCCCTGGGAATGGAGATAATAGGACCAAGTGGGCCTGGAAACCCAGGAGATGTCATTGAGACATGAGAAACAGATTTGGGTGGGGTGGGCAGAGATGGTAATTGTTTCAGTTTTGGACGAGGTGAGTTTGAAGCTTGTGAGTAATATCCAAGTGAAAAACATCCTGAAAGGACATAGATTTATGTAGATGTAGAAGAGTGTTTCTGAACCATTTTTCCATTATTGCCCCTTAAGGAGCTTTCTAGGCATTTTTTCCTATGTCTGCAACTATGAAATTTTAAAACCACAAGTATACTGCATTTATGTTTATGCATATCTGTGCTTTACATGTAAAAACCAGTAAGATAAGCAAGACATTTTTTCTTCTTCAAGAACCAACTTTCTATCCTTGAGGATGATACTGCCCCTGTTGAGAACACATGGTTAGACTTCACAGCAGCAAAGTGATCTAGGAGCACTAAGTTTTGAGCTCTTTCTCCCAAAGCTAATTAGTTGACCAAATGAGCCCAAACAGGTATGCAGAACTAAAAAAAGGAGGATACAGGCTTGAGAAGAAGACAAGGATGGTACAAATTCTAATCTGAAATAGACAAGGAATGTAATCACACGTGAGAGGTGGTTAAGCTAAAACCTGAGCAATGAATAGGAGTTAGCTTGGGTTGTGTGGAGTGATCGGAGAGAGGGAGTGTTGGTGGAGGAGGGAGTGACATGAACACAGGGTTAATAGATAATCTGGTGGTGTTACCATGAGTAATCATTCAGAGCAGATACCCATATAAAGGATAAAAAAGATAAAAAAATCACTCTTCTTATACCAAAATTTAATTTAGAGCTGGAAATTCCTGTAATACTTAATTGTGCACAGTCCTATTTATGTGCTTCATTTCTAATGACTTTCCACTTTCAGATATGTTCATACACACACACACACAGGCTCTTCAAAAAGTTCATGGAAAATCTGATATTATCTTTTAATTTCATTTTCCACGAACATATCAAAATACCCTTCCTACGGATGTACGCGCACACACACACACACACACACACACACACACTCACGGTGCAATCTGCAATTTAAAAAAAAAATTCTACATCACTAAATATTATATCACTATCAGAAAAACATATATATCAGAGTAAGAATGAGAGAGATTGTTATCATACATATTAACATACTCAGCGCTTATTGATGCAAAAACTATCATAGCTCTGGAAACACTGAGCTACCCACCTAGACAGCCTTTCACACAATTACACATGTAATAAGCTCAAATACTATACTGACCTACTCAACATGCAACTCAAAGAATGGTTCCTGGCACTTTAAAAAACAGACTGAATAAGAACACTTAGTTCATTACTAGATACCTTGTTAAAAAGGAACATAGATTTCACCCAGTTGAGTGTTTTAAAAGAGTACATTTCAATAAAATGACTCCCTTACCAGCTGGACAAATTTCCAGTAACATGTAGATGACCTGGTAATGCTAAAACATGCCCTGAACTAGCTCGTGTCCTTGTGCAAGTTACTGTATGTTAGTTTTTATACATGTAAAATAAGAAAATGGAACTGAACTTGGAAAGGAAACTCTAAATTCACTTTTTACTCCAAAAATAATAAGTATACATTATAGTAGACCTAAGTGTTAGCATAGTGAAACCTAATTTTAAAAAAGAACTAGAATAAAAATGAAGAAACCTACTTATAATCTCAGTTCATAAGTTATTTCTGCACACTTGATTCAGTTGGACTCTTTCTATGGGTTTCAGTTTTTAACAAATAAACCTGAGAATGTTAATCCAATTTGTGAAAGTTTCCTTACTACTCTATAATTTCATTCATACTCTACTATCATCTTAAAAAGATAAGGCCAGCATGAAAGCAGCAAACTTGCACAAATATAATAGTTTTCTCTTGTAAGACCAAGAGTCAGCATAAAAGCTGTCTTCAGTTTTGTTAAAAAGACCCTAGCAGTGAAGCTCCTCTATTCTTCCCCACCACTTTCACAGCGCTGACGACTTGCGGAGCACTGTGCCTGCATGGACTCTCCCAGTAACCAGTCCACACCATTCCTTACTATGCTCATGAGAAACTTGATCAACAGCCTGTATGGAATATTCATTAAGACAAACATCATCTACTTCTATAATTTGTAAAGACTGGAAAGAATTTTCCAGTAGTATTTGTCTTTAGATGCAGCTAAACAACCAGCAACTGCCAGGATTAATATTAATAATCTCTATGATGGAACAACAACGAGCTGGTTCAACCTTGATCTTTATACATGAGCAGTAAGAATTCAGATTAGAATTCTAGAACACAGTACTCCATCTACCAGCTTAATAAAGGTTAAGTACTCAGGTCAAACACAGATTCCAGTCATTCAGAGACTATTATGAAGCTAAACACTAATTTAGGGCAGAGGATGCTATCATGGATTGTCCTACTGAAAACGTCAACTGATTAGTATGCGGCATATTGATAACACTCTAATATTAAAAAATATACTCACTCAATAAGAAATACAAGTACAATTCTTCCATCCTTCCAAAATCTGTATTCAATAATTGTGAAACAAAAAAGTCACCCAAACTTCTAAAAAAATAAATTTGAAAGTAAGCCTAATAAATAATGAGTGAGTTAAGAAGCATTTTGTTGACAATGCATGAAATCTCATTCACAAACTACTATGCAAATCTAAACTGCAGAGCAGAGATTCTTCATTCATGTTCTCACATTCTCAGGAAAAATTTCACAATGCTGCCTAAGTATTCATCCTGCCTCAATTACTCTATTCCTTTCCTCCTTCCCCCAAATAATTTTTAAAAAGTAAGCCTTCCAAAAGCATGAAAGCACAACAAAATGTATTTATCAAGGTCTATATCTATTTGCTCAATATTTTTTAATTTCTTTGATAAACATTAACAACTAAAAAAGGTACTTTCTACTTCTGCTAATCATTCATTTCATAATCAGTGATTGAGCTAGAACAAGTAAAACTGGAGAGGGAATACTAATTTTGTTGAAGATGAAGAACAACTTAAGCACACTTTGTAATGCTAACTCTCAGAAAGAAAATGAAGCTAAAATATTTGCTTTAAAAACTGTTCTGATTAAAAAATAGGTTTTATTTAAATTTTAAGACATTGCTTGACAGGATTCCCTTTGTATCACTGTCAAGAGATTTATCTTACTGCTGAGTGCTCATCACTGTTAAAAAGAAGTTCTTATTTGTGTATTGTTTCTTTAAGGTACATTTAATGTGGCACAAATATCAAATAAACAAAAAGACGGATGGAGTTTCTTCTACCACTCTGTTCATTCCAGACAAAATAATGTTAAAAGCAGATTCTCTAATAAATCATGGCCTAGTTGTCAGTTTGGAGTAAAATTCCTTTGTAGCTACAATGCAAGGTTTTGGAATATTTTTAAGGTATTGAGCACAAATTTCAACGACATTTAGAGATATTCCATTGTTTAGTCACAAGGAAAAAAATTCTTAAAAACTGAATTTCTTCTTGATGATCTTCAGAATCCAAAGAACTATAATCTCTTACTCTTTGAATAAAGGCACTTATATTGTAAGAATACTACTGTCAAATTAGTAACTCTCCTGCTCATTATGATGTTCCTATAATCTAAGTGTGTATCAAAACAGCTTTTTAGATATTGTAGATACTGGAGAACACCAGCTACATGACAAAATTCTGAGAATCATGTAGTGGTCTCATGAGCATTCTAGAAGACCTCAGTCAGTGAAGTACAATGCTGAAGATGACAGCAGCAATTCTTATTTGTTTGGCACTTACTACGAGAGATAGACTAGCCAAATAATAAAACACATGTTAAGTGCATAAAACACACACCATCTTTCTTCATGAGGAAGGAACTAGCATTAAATCATTGTTAA